ACAACAATTATTGTTTTAGTAAAGAACAACACTGGCTTATGCGTTGTTCTACAGTCAGTCTTCCTTTGACAACCATCTTGTGTAACCTGGCGCATAAGCAGGAACGGCGCGACAGTAGCGCGCTCGGGAAGAGTAAAAGAATTATGTCAATTATATACTGTGTTATCATGTTACAAAACTTCGTTCATTGCGGGGTTGAATATTCAATACTTTTCATGAATCAAATACTGAATCATTTCGTGCGCCATCCTGTACACTGAACCTGAATTTTTGTGTCAAAGCGTTTGAAGTACGTGACTGTCAAATGTCCTATCACCCAGCTACTGTTTTATGTAAATGGCGACTTGCAGCTCTGTTAAGCATTCAGAAACTATAAAAATTAATTTTACTTGACAGTAAATTCGAAACATTTCTTTAAATTTGTGTCCGGGTTGCATAATTTTCGAGGTTGGCCCGTCATTTTATGCTGTGTTCTATTACATATCATTATCTTAGACGCTATATTAAATTAACTAATTTTATATTATACGAGTATCGTTACATTTTCTCTAATATGTCGGACGGTTTAGGTTTCATTGAGAAATTAAGGCTCTAACATGGAAAATTTTTACGTTATTGAGTTCCGGATATTGATCTGTCATAATAGCAACAATAATTATATGGTAACACTAAAAAACGTAATGATGAATGTCTATATTCCCACTTTAATTTTTAAAATCTTTGCTTCAGAAAATTCTGGACAGAACAAATTTTCCGCTATCAATATTGTCACGTGTCTGGGATTCAGTGACTAACAATAACGGGTTCTGAATCGGATGATTGGATTTATTGGCACTTCTTTTACAATCGCTTGGAAACAAAATTAATTATAACGCTATATGGTAATCTGCCCACTTCACAAATCACTCGGACACGCTCCATTCTCGTCCTTGTACTAACCTGTACTCTCCGTCGTACTCTGTTGTACATCGTTGTATCCCCAGTCTGCTGACTCTCTTTTTCCACAGCAATTCTCTTACAACTTCTGAACTCTCAATTCCAATTCTCTTTGACCTTTATCTTCAAATAGACTATCGTTTTATAGCCTCGAATTGGACCCATAGAAAACACTGTCTTCTCTTGTCAAGTATTATTTTGTTACCTACCAGTGAGTTGTAGCACGGCCACAGGTTACGCAGCTCCTACTCTTTTCACGAGCTTAAGCGGGAAGTTTTTTACCAGGTCGTTGTCTAGCAATGCACGTCTTTATTTGTGTTACTCTCTTAAGCGGGAAGGTGTTTATCCGGTCGTTGTCAAGCAATAGGAGTCCCTATTGTTTTCACTTTCTTAAGCGAAGTGTTTACCTGGTCGTTGTCTAGCAATGGACGTCTTTGCAATGCTTCTCTGACTGCACCCTTCCGGTGTTCAGGCGTCGTGTCACAATATCTTCACTCTTCGCTTGGAGAGAAGAACCACAGTATATTCTTTATAGCATAGTCTAACAGCGCAGCGGTAATAAGTTCAAAATATACTGTACTATACTGCAGTACAGAAAAGCCTATGCCTAATCGCCAGACTTCCCTATATTGGTTCCAACCTGTTTCTCCAAGTGGAGAATTGTAGAAATATCCTTAAAACAACCGAGGTTTCATTTGGAGAGACACGCCAGGGAAATTAATGGGCTTTCCTGTAACATCTACAGGTTCTAGTAAAAAACCAACTCCTCTGTTATATTTTCTCCCTACAAATTATTGGTACAGTGACGAAAATGAGTAGGTAAATTTCATATAATTTATTTTAACCCCGGTAACTAGATATGTCGCCGGTCACGGTAGCCGAGCGGTCTAAGGTATGTACTGTCTTCGCTCACTTGGACACCGGGATCGTGGGTTCGAATCCCACTCAGGACATGGATGCTTAGTTTGTGTGTGTGCGTTTTTCTGTGTTTGTCTACAGGTAGAGGCCTTGCGACGAGCTGATCACCAGCCCAAGGAGTCCTACCGAATGTGTAAGATCTAGAAAAACCTAAGTGAACGGAGCAGTTCATGGAGGTAGGCCTAGGCCCAAATGAGGGCTGTAGCGCCAAGGGAAAAAACTAGATATGTGTGCATTGGATACTTGCGTGATGTATTAACGTTATCATATATTTCGAGATAAATCAGTTATAAATGGCGGCTTACAATTTAAGTATGAAAGTTCCAGAGACAGTCCATTTTAGCTTGTGGATATGATTTTATCATACAGCCTACACCCCCAAAAATTCTTTTCTGAAGATCTGGTATTTTGAACCCAGCAATCTACAAACATTAATTGCAACTTAACACCAAGAAAGATGAAAAGAGTTTCGGAAAATATACTGTATATGGCTCTACAGCCCTTTGTTGGGCTCTGGCCGCTTTTTCGGTTTCGTAATTCTGTACACGCGGGAACACGGGGTAGCGTAGTTGTTGAGGAGCTACGCTACAAGCCTGAAGGTCACGGGTTCAGGTCCCGATGAGGTCATTGGATTTTTCATTTGACCTAATCCTTCCAGCCGA